CTGCATTAAGTCCTTGTGCTTCTGGGGCCGTGGCTGTGCTGGAGAGCCGCTCGTGGGGGGTGACTGAGTAATCTTTAATTTTTATAACTTATTTTCCTACACAAAACCATGGGCTGGAGCGATAGCACAGCGGTAAGGCGTTTGCCTTGCATGCAGCCAACATGGCCGACCCGAGTTCGATTCCTCCGCCCCTCTCGGAGAGCCCGGCAAGCTACCGAGAGTATCTCGCCCGCACGGCAGGGCCTGGCAAGCTCCCCGTGATGTATTTGATATGCCAGACACAGTAACAACAAAGTCTCCAATGGAGACGTTACTGGGCCCGCTCGAGCAAATCGATGATCAACGGGAGGGCCTTTTTATGGTCCCCTAAGCCCTGAGCACTGCTGGGTGTCGTTCCCACCCCCCCATTTTTTTTTTTTAACCATCTTACCAGAATCAGAAGAAATTGAGTTACCATGACTTACAGTACTATTAGTGAAACACTTTTTCCTATAATATCGTAACCTTAATCAGTTTTTAAGTTTGCTCTTTAGTAACGTCAAACTGTTATGTATCCAAACCCCACAATTCTTTTCATCTTGCAAGACTGTATTAAAAAAAAAAAAGTTCTCAAAGCAGCAAGCAGTATTCCTAGCTGGGTTTGAGGTGTTCAGTCTTCCGGCCGGGGTCCACGCACCAGTGGTTTAAATTCTGCCCCCGCCAAGGGGCCCCGTCTGGTTGGTGAACGCTCACAAGATTCAAATTTGGGATGTTTTAGAGACCAGGTTCCCCATCTCTTCTCGCCCTGCTGTCGCAGGTGACCGTTCTTCTGTCTGTAGCTAGGAACGTGACCACCGGACAGCTTCCCGCAGTGCGGTCACGCCTGGCGATTGGGGCTGGCGCCTGTCATTTAGCATGAGGTCTTCAAGATGTGTTTATGCCGGCTGAGGACTATCTGGCCCATGGGCCGCTTGTCAGGCCTATGAAATCGTGTCTGACCCTCGCTCAGGGGACAGACAAGCATGCTTTCTGAGTGGGCTGCCCGTCACCCACCTGCCAGTATCGCGTGGCCCTCAGAGGGTGTCGCCTGTCTCAGATGACCCCCGGGCAGAAGCGTCACCATGCCTGATCTGTTACAGAATGTACAATGATTTCCCTTTCTCTCCCCCTCCACGTTATTCATATACCACGGTTTACAAAGTTGTTCCTGATGATTGTTCCAGGCACTCAGTATTCCATTGCCAATCCCACCACCGCTGTTCCGGTCCCTAAACCATGTCCCCCCCCCCCCCGGCCCGTCAAAGCCTGACGTACATAGTGGGCCCACAGTCATTTAATTGGTGTTACTTTTGGCCAGTGGAATGATCAAAGTACACTTCTGTAAAAGAAAACCTGTGAAAATTGTTGTATCTTACCGTGGGGGCACTTAAGTCCTAGTCTGAGGTTTACTAAGCTGTTGTTGCAAGTCGAGCCTTCTAATAGTTTTTGTTAGTTGAGCCTGGTTGGCTTCTGCCTTACATCCCCATCTGATTGGGTGTGCTCCTACTGGGATATTAGTTTTGTAGAGTTGGGAGATGTCGCTTCGGAAGATTCAGAGTCTTTACCAGGGCGGTGAGCTTCCATGGTGATGGTTGGTGGCAGAAGGTGGGTTTGGCTGTGACTTCCGGACCTACAGAGGCGGAGGGAGATCACCTTACCTCCACTCAGAGAAGGCCCAGAGTTTTCAGCCAAAAAACCTGGTGTAGCTCCAAGTCTCAGCCTTGGGCATCTCTGTGGCGCTCGGTGGGGAGGCGGTGGCGCCCAGCCGTGGTGTGGTGGCAGCTGTCAGGGTATGAGCGTGGCTGCTGGGGCCAGCCCGCCTCCCTCCCCAGGCCCCAGTGGACCCCAGACTTTTTTGTGGCGAGTTGATCTCTTTGGAGATTTAATAGATCGAGCTCCTTTTTTCCTAAGGTGGATGAATGTTCGTACATGCATAAACCGTGTTTTGTGTTTCGGCCAGAGGTGGACATTCGGGGCCTGTTCGTGTCCCTGTGCCGGGTTCCTGGTGTGCCGAGACCGTTGCGGGCTGGTGCTTCCTGTGCTTCCGTTTCACGGCTGGCTGGCTTGGCCAAAGTCCATCGCTTTTCTCCTTTCCCTTTTCTTTTCCTGTTTGATTTCAGTTAATCCCAGTTCAGAGTGCGTTTTCTTCTTCCGGGTGTTCAGCCAGACCCAGTGGAATTGCAGGGTCCTGCGACGATTCCATTCCGCAGTTCTGGGCGGGAGCTGCCGTGATGTTTTGTTTTCCCTGGTGGGCGTATTCCTGCTGCGGCTCTCTCGGACCCTGCATGACGCATGTTTAGAAGGAGACTTGCTTCCCTTTGGAATGTTTTGCTCGTTGCTTTGTCGTCTGTGTTCAGTCAGTACTTCTGGGGTATCAAGTAGGAGTGGTGTGGACGGGAAGTTAATTTCCAGATTCATTGTTTCTGAATGTGACATGCAGGCAATCGTCATCAAGTGTCAGTTTTGGGGTGGTTGACACACAGCAGTGCCCAGGGGGCACTATAAGCTCAGGGGGACCCCCCCAACCCCCCACCGGCAGTGCTTCAGGGATCGTGTGTGGTGTTGGGATTGGAACCGGATTGGCAGGATATCAGGCCACTGCCTTAACTTGTACTATCTCTCCCATCCTCAGACTAATGAGTAATTCGATTTTTGTTTGACCTTCATGGGCATGTGGTAACAAATTGGAAGGAGCACTTAAATGTCGGTGAAGAGCCAGTAGTTTTGTTTCTCTTTTAAGAAAATGGCCTCAGATGCGTGTAGCAGTGATTTGCTTAGATTCAGACTGCAACTACTGTGCGGAGTCCAGGTGGGAACGGGCCTCCTCCTGTGACGTTCGCCGTGGAAGAGGCTTGCTGTGCGTGGTGCCTTCCGCTCGGCTCCAGTTCGCTAGCTCCCTGCCGGGAAGTGTCGGGGGCTCCTCCCTGCTCACGGCCCGCAGTGCCTGTGATCCTGTAGCAGCCTGCTGTGGTCCCCTCACATTTCACTCTGTCTGGGAGCACGCTTCCCCGCGAGCACCTGGAGATGGGGTCGTCTCAGACTTCACTTTGTATTTTGTAAATCAGAGTGTCATGCATCTTGGGGGTGAGGCTGTCTTAAGGGCATCATTGTTTATTTCTTTCCTGAGTCACTTCTCATTTGTTTATTAAACAGAGGAAGGACTCTGTGTGCTTTTGACAGATTGCCCCTTGAGTTTTATGTCGTACACTTAGTACCTTTCTTCAAGTCTTCCCTCTCCTCAGAGTTTTAAAAATAGTTGGTACAGGTGGCTGGAGCTATAGCACAGCAGGTAGGGCATTTGCGACCGACCCGGGTTCGATTTCCAGCATCCCATATGGTCCCCCAAGCATTGCCAGGAGTAATTCCTGAGTGCAGAGCCAGGAGTAAACTCTGAGCATCGCAGGGGGTGACCCAAAGACAAAAAAAAAAAAAAAGACGTTCTTACAGGGTTAAAATCTGTCACACAGAAATTTACATATATGTGTGTACTCATGTTTGTATAGAATGTATGCCCCTTATGTGTATGTGCATTTGCATAAGAAAGGAGTTTCTTATGATTTTGTGACACCCGATTTTCTTTCATGAAGTTTTCATGGTGCTTAAAGTACCATATGTTCATTTGAACTGCGGGTAAGGCGTTTGCCTTGCACGCATCTGACTCAGCCGAACCGGGTTCAATTCCTCCGCCCCTCTCGGAGAGTCCGGCAAGCTACCGAGAGTATCTCACCCGCACGGCAGAGCCTGGCAAGCTACCCGTGACGTACTCAATATGCCAAGCACAGTAACAACAAAGTCTCCAATGGAGACGTTGCTGGGCACGCTCGAGCCTGATGAACAACAGGAGGACAGTGCGACAGTGCTACTTATCTAAAAGATTGACATAAAAATAGATTTCTTGGGGCTAGAGTTTAGTGGGTAGGGTGCTCGCCTTAGATGCCAACTCCAGTTCCATCCCTGTACCTCAGGGCTCCCATGAGCACCTTCAGGAGGAAGGCATGTGCACAGCTGGGTTCAGCCCCTGCTAAAAACCAAAACCACAACCAAGAAATGCTTCTTTTTCTATTTCTGTAGACATGAATATGTGGTCTTGGAGAAGACATCCTTACCATATTTTCCTGTTCAGCTGTTGCAGATTTCATGGCAGTGGTTTTTGCAAAATATATGGGGTACAACCATGATATGAAAAGTAAAAAATTGTGCCAATTGCATGTAAAGTCATTTATTGCCAAACTGTGGTAATATGACGAAAGGCAGTTTTTGGAGTAAGAAAAAAAAGTGGTGTGATGATTACAAGGCAAAGTACTATCTGTTGGAGGTCCTAAAACTGTTCTTTGGAGAACATAATGTTCGGTCGGTAGCATTCGGAAAGCCACCAGTTAGAAGTTGTGTAGGTTGTCAGTTACTCTTTAGTCTTCATTAAGTGATATTTCTGACTAGTTCTTTCCTTAGCATTTGCTGTGCTGGGCTTTACGTAATTACAGATAGAAAGGGCACAGGTGCGAGTAGATGCAACTTGGAAGGTGCGTTCTGTTGTTGCAGTGAGACGGCAAGTCAGAAAATGCTAATATTCGGAGAACCCGTTTGTAACACTTACAGAAATGAGCTCAGAAACCTTTTCTCCTCTCAGTTACTTTTCAACCTTGCAGCTTTCAGTTCTTTGATCAGCGGCTCGAAGTGATGAAAAAGACAGTGCAGTTGCCGTGTACCTTTGGTGCCTAATGTCAGGTCTTGAGACTGTACTCCTGCGTCGGACAGCTGCTCCCAGATCATTGTGCAGTGAGAACCCTTCTTGTGCTTGCCCTGATGCTTTCAGTACGGTTGCTTTTCTTGTGAGAGTTGACTTGCCCAAGTTGTTTTGAGACTTCTCTAGGGTAAACATGAAATTGTGTTATTAAGTGCATAATAGGTCATTTAGTTTTACCAATGCGTATATATGAACTTTTAATGTTTCATGCATTTTATGTTGTTTTGTTTTTAAACAGGCTAATAGCACGTCAGCTTGCTAAAATCCACGCTATCCACGCACACAATGGTTGGATCCCCAAATCTAATCTGTGGCTGAAAATGGGAAAATATTTCTCTCTCATTCCCACAGGATTTACAGATGAAGCCATTAATAAAAGGTAGGGTTGCTTTTTCACTTGCTTTGTTACTGTTTGGGGCCACGCCTCGCTGTTCTGAGGGCTTATTCCTGGCTCTGTAAATTTAGGGCTCACTCCTGGAGTAGCTCGGGGGAGCGTGCTTGGTGCTGGGGATCAAACCTGGGCCTTTGCATGGGGGTGGCTCCTGGCAGTGCTTGGGGGAATCACGGGGTGCTGGGGACCGGGCTTGGGCTTCTCACACGTGGTGCGTGTGCACCCGCTCTTGGAGCTATCTTCTGAGGAATCCTGGAGGTGAGTGATGCTTTGGAAAAGTGGAGATGCAATGTCATTAACAAAAAAACAAACAAAAATACGGCAAAAATACCATTTCCAGTATCCAACCCCGAATATACACAGATCCCCCACGGACCACAAAAACAAATTATTAAAAGTATTTTTATACATCCTGTCCTTTATTATGATTGTAATGATCATGTAATCCCTTTTTTGAATCCTGTTCTGCTCAGTGTGTGTGTGAGTGCATGTATGTGTGTGTGTGTGTGTGTGTGTGTGTGTTGAGGCTCAAACCCAGGGCCCCACACTCGCAGAGCAAGCACTCTTCTTCCCCTGTGACACTTCCTGCGTCCCTCGGCAATGTGCTTTCAGAGTGGGGTCTCGAATAGTCGCACCATTTGGAAAAGAGCTCGAAGGGTTGTGTTTGCTGCAAACCATCTGTAGCGGATGGAACACCTGAGTATGCGGATCCATTGAAGTATCGTAATCGGGAGTATTGCAGGTGCAGAAGTAAGGGGTGACTTGAAAGATTGAGAGCAAGAGTGAAAACCCAGCCCAGAGTATCGGGGAGATGAGGAAGCAGACAGCAGTGCTGTGCGGCTGGCGGTGCCCCATCTGTCCCTCGCAGCTGATTTCTGTCATTTTTTTGAAAAAAACTAATTGTTTCTTACTTAAACTTTTAAGATTTTTATTCCGCTGGCTAGTGACCTGGGAAGATGGTGTGAAGGGATGCCGTCTTGAGGTGCTAGAAACCAAGCCCAAGGCAGGGTCTGTAGGACCCCGGAGGGAGGTCGAGGGCCGCTAGGGGGATGGTTCCTGGGGCTGGGGGCTGTGGTGCCAGCCTCGCCGAGAGCTGCGTCCCTGCGTGCAGAGCCTGGCCGTGCCGCTCTGTGGTCCGGGTTTCTTGCAGGCCCTTCCTAGCACCTTGCTTATGATTATGAACTGTGCTTAAGAAGCAGCCGGCATGCGAGGTGGAGACCATGGCCCCCCCCAGGACCCCAGGACAGCCTCGTTAAGTTTCCAGCTAGTATTGATGCTTTTCTCTACGTGCTGCCTTGTGGAACCATACTCTGGTTTTCACCTGGGCGGCTGCCGCTGTCCCAGATGCGCCCAGCAGCTCTCAAGTGGTGGGTGGCAGGCAGGGTGGACCGAATCCCGGGCGGCCCCGCCCCAACCCTCCTTGGCTGCTCAGCCTAGCTTCTCTCTGCCCCGCGGCCAGCTTAGGCCTTGTGAAATCGGCTTAGTCCAGAGAGGACACAGGCGTGTGGGATGCAGGCCCCTGCGAGCCACACCCCCCCGAAGCTCTTTGAAGATTGGAGAAGGTAGTGTCGTATCATGCCACATTTTCTTAGCACGCGTTGAATGATGACGCATAACGGGAGCTAACTGATCAGTGGACAATATCTCTTGACTTTGAAATGTCAACCTAGCTGATTCAGACTACATTCACCTGGTATAAGCTTAAAATAGATTAGTTCTTTAAATGGATCGTGTTTGTTTGACCATGAATCGCCTCCCCTAAAAAGTCCAGCAGATCTTCTTTTCATCATGTCCTTTACGTCCTGGTTTCCCTGTCTGTCGCGTGAGATTATTAAGAAATTAGCATCGCACAGTGCTTATCGGTGTGAGCGTCAGCAATCTGTGACTTTCCCCTCCAGTTTTATAGGACACAGTAAAGCATTTTCCCACTCTTTATTTAACTTCTGTTTGTTTCCTTGTCATTCGCTTTTTGTTGTAAAGATTCTTACGCCATTTTTTCAATAACTGATCTGTTGTTTTAATCCAAGAGTGTGATTTAATGGGATGACATACTATAAAAATAGATTTTTACAGCTTAATCAATGGCTGAATAAATAGTACTCCTACATTAAAAAAATAGACTTTATTCTTTAATCAAACTTGAGAAAGTGTCCTTAATAAGCTGTAACTTTCTTTACAACCGAAAGGTTCCTAAGTGACATACCAAGCTCTCAGATTCTTCAGGAGGAGATGACTTGGATGAAAGAGTATCTTTCCAAACTGGGCTCACCTGTTGTGCTTTGCCATAATGATCTGTTGTGTAAGAATATAATCTACAATGGGAAACAAGGTAGGTGTTTGACTTTATTAATGAGCTAAGTTCATTCCTATTATGTTTTTAGTGGTCCTTTGATCTTTGCATCGATGAAAATAATTGAAAGGCATGGAATAAAAACATGAATAAAACCTGTAAGGATCTTTTGGGTTATGAAGCTATGGTAACTGTGCTGAACTTTGAATACACATGTCTTTAGATTTGTAGACGACGTTAGAGACCTTTTTTGGGGGGATCTTGATAAGACATTAAAAAATAGTAAGAAGGAGATTTTAACAGTGAATTTAGCTCCGAAATGCATTTGGTAATTCATCATTTGAAAATGTGCCTGCTTAGTAGGGGAGTTGGTGAGAAGCCAACTGACGATTCACTGCTTCCTAAGTAAAGCTGTTTTCTCTGGAGTGGGAAGTGGAAGAGCCCTGGGAATAAACTTCTCTCCAGTTTCCTATTTCCTGACTGTTATGCGAGTTGCTAGAGATGTGGATGCTAAGGGGAGAGTCTCTGCTGGAGCAGTGTCATTGTGTTCCTGAAATGGATCTCTGCTGAAGCAGTAATGAAGGAGCTGTGGGAAATACTGTTTTTAACACTTGAGGTAGACAGTGATATCTTTTCTTGAAAATTTTTTGTGATTATATCTTGCTGTGTTCACGTTTAAGGAACACTTGTTTGTATTATTGAAATAAAGTGGTTTGAGGTTTGGTTGCTAATGATAGGGGTCCTTCAAGACTGAATTGATACTGAAAAGTAAAATTTTGGTTGAAGGATTAGTATTTAGTCCAAAAAAATGTATTTAAAATGGAAGCTATTGTGTTTTATAGGAAACCAGTTTTGAAGAGTGAGTCTAGTCAGAATATTATTGCTGTTTTGAAGATGCTTTTAGTTTCCTAAAATTGTGGTTAAATGGTCATAGTTATAATTATATTAAGTCTCTGTTTATGACCGTTCTTCTTAAGTCAGATACAAAGGTTAATATTTGTAACTGACTTTAACTTGAAAAAAGCCAACCAAAGAACACTGTCAAGGATAGCAAAGAATGAATCACAGATTTTCAAAAATATGTTTAAATTATTTTGACATTTGATACTTTTAATGTTCAGTAGACTTAAAAAAATATACGGAGCTAACACTTTGGGTGTAGTGATTTTCTTAACTTCAGTTGTATTTATACTTGACGATGTCCTTTAGTTTATTACTGTTTATCATATGTAATTGTCACAATATATGTGTTCTTTATTACAGTGCTGGTAACCAAATCTCAATGCCATTTCTGAATGAGTTCTAGTTATGCATTATAGCGATGTCAGTAGTTTTTAAGTTCAGTTCAAGATCATTAACACGGTTTAAAATGATGGAATTTCAAGGGAGGGGCCTCATCTTACGTTTGAAGTGGACACTCAGCTTTATTTTTAACTGCAAGTTAATCAGAGAAAGTCATTTATTTCCTTTAAAATATATTTTAACTTTTCATACATTTATTTTATAAGTTTATTTTGCATATTCATTTCATGGTGCAAACTTGTTTATAAAACTAAAAGACAAGGGACCAAAAAAATCAGATTACTTTGTCTTAAGTTGAAGTACATTTAATATTTTTTCATTTAATCAATTGCATATCTAAACTCAGTGATACAAAAATTTCTCATTTTCTTAAATAAAGTTTTTGTTTTCTTTGACTTTAGGAATTCAAGACTGTCATAATGTTTATTTTCTGAGTTAGCTAAATCATATTTTTATTGTTTTATAGTGCTCTTTAGGGAGACTAGTTTTGGACCCTGTGGCCATCTTTGAAAAAACAAAAATCTTTTTCTGGTGCCAGGGATCAAACCTAGACCCTCAGACAGTGACGCCAGGGGCTCCAGCACTGAGCCGCACCCAGCCCAGCCCAGCGACGCTTGTGTGATTGGTTCATACGTGAGCATTAAGAAGTGCGGTTTGAATGCTATTCAGGTTTACTCCAAAATTAATGAAAGTGTTACAGGAAACTTTGTTTCGAAGTGATTGAACTATTATTCATGAAAATATGTTTATCTTCAGCTATAAGGAGAAGATACCTTAACTCTGAACTTAAATTTTAAGGTTATTTTTAAGTCAACTTTAATGCATGAGACTGGTATTTTGGGAAAACTCAAGTAATGCATTTGAGAAATAGATTAACATTAGCATTTTACTTACGCCAACATTTTCAAGAAGTAGCATTAAAATTAGAAATGACGTGCTGCAAAGTTCTTAAGTGGTTGACCTGTTAAAACGAGAAACAGCCAAATTGAGTCTTGAGGTTAAAACATTTTATGCTTAAGTTTTATAAAATATTTATAAAAATGTTTGATCTGTTACCACTCTTCAGTTCAGTCTTAGGGTTTGATCACATGTGTGAGATGTAAATAGTATATATGTATCCATATATATATATATATAATAAGATGAAAACCTAGGGGTTGGTATTGATAACAAGCTCACTCACTCTCTGTAGTATGTTTCCCAGACCTTGATTTCTCAGAAGCACAAAGTTCATTTACATTTTATGAACTTGGTTGAATGATTTTGAATCATTTTGATGTCTCTGCATAAAATCCTTAACCATAGAAAAGTAGATTTTGTATATTTTGACTAGATTAAAAATATCTAAGTAACTAATTAGAGCATGTGTATTAAAGCCTAGTTACAGCCAACAGAAGTCAGAAAGGACAGATTCTGGATTAAATTCCTGCTTAATCATGTGGAAGTAAGTGGTGTTAGATAAGGCATGTATCTCTATTAAGTCTTTATATTTGATTCGTGGTTATCTGCACCAGAACCACTTTGGAAAAATGAAATTTTCTGGGCCCAGATATACATTGAAGAGCAGCTACACAAGAATGACTGTAGATGTGCCCAGGGATCTGCACGTTTGACGTATTTCCTAGTATCAGTCAATGGCTTCGATAGACTAGAGCTTTACTTGGCTTTATTTGTCACTTAGAGGTACTGTCCTCTGTGCAGACGATTCTGAATAAGAATTTGCTGATACATACCAAGTATACTGGGCTAGGGATTGAGCAGTGTATAGCACACCCCTTATCAGGAAAGGGGTTGGCCAGTTTTTCTATAAGGGGGTGGACAGTTGTTTTTTTAGGCTTTCACATTGTTGTCTTTATTGCAGTACTCACCTCTGCATCGCACGAACATAGCCATGCACTTATAAAGATGTGTGGCTCTGTTCCAGTAAAAAAATTGGGCTGTCGTTTCGTAAATAAAAAAAGAATTTGGCCCGAGCTTACACAGTTTGCCAGACCCCGTGCTACATTTCTCGGTGGCATTTTACAAACTGTACCGACTTGAAAAATGTTAAAAATGTTTGCTCTGAGACAGATGAACCGAGTCCTGTAACTAGGACAATTATGGCTCAGAGGTATGATGGGACAGTTGAGTTCGTTTTCAAGTGCCTCATTCATATTGTCTTACCTCTGACTTGGGTGAAATGTAGTGAAAATGTGTGTGAGTGTGTGTGTGTTTGTGTGTGTGTGTGTGCGCATGTGCGCGCGTGTGCTCATTATGTCCATGCTCACGAGGGCTCTGAGAACCCTACGGTTCTAGGCATTTTCACCTGCCAATGTTACAGGAACTGGTAGGCATCACAGGAAGAACACGGCCTCTACCTGTTCTCACCGTGTCAGTTGACAGGACTCAGGAATTTGGGAGAAGAGTGAGCTTCCTTTCTGCAGTTGATGGTAGCTGTCAAGAGTTTTGAACAGTTAGTCAGTGCCAGGAATTAGGTGGTTGGTAAACTGCGGCCATGCCTTGCCTTCAGTGAGATGACTTCTTTCCAGGTAAGACAAGAATGCTTAATGATATGATGATACAATGTTACTACGTAAGGAAACCAGAGCAGTGGTCTTTGTGCCAGAGCTGTTAGAGAAGACTTTTCAGTCATCTTTTAAGCATATTAATAATTCTTTTTACGATCGTATCACGTAGAACAAATTGTGATACTACTTATTGGCTGATTTCAGATCTCATTTTAATTTCCACTAATCCATTAACTGCTGACACGCGAGGTAATTACTAGAGCTTTTTGTGCATTGTCTCATTTGATGCTGTCAGAAGGTTTATTAGTGGCTGTTTCTCTTCTCTATTCATAAAATCTCTTAAAGCTCTGGTGTACAGCATTACATTAGAAAAATGACAATCAATATTATTTCTCTGTCAGCAAATGGTCAGATGTTGATTTACAGCTATTAAAGAATATAAATGAATGGAAGTTAAAAAAAAGCTTTTTCTGGGGATTGCAGAGAATGCACTCGGCTTTTCTTTAACGTGATATAAATGAAAAGGGGCCGGCCACTGTCCTTAGTCACTCGATTGTCTCTGAGACTCATGCATTCTGTTATTATTCATGAAAAGGCATTTTTGTGATGGTCAATAATATTTTAATGACTGAAGAATTTTCTTAACTTTTGAAAAACCTTCTAGAGTCACTGTAAATTGATGTTGTATTTTCCAGGATGGGGCTTTTATGAAGGATAATGTTATCCTGGTTTTAATTTGTGCTGGGGATCACTAGTTACCATAAAAGAAATAATCCCTAAATCAGCTGAACATTTAAATGCATCATCAAGTCCTGAACTATTAAATGGGTTTATTTGATAATAGTATTTTGGTGTTACTTTTTCCTTGTTCGTACACTGAGAGCCACTGTATGTGCTGTAGGCTTGAATCGGAGTGTCGGAAGTGCCAGCCCCCTAGTCTTTCGTTTCACTCCCCTCCCCACTTAAAGGTGGACCGTCCTCCAGTCTTAGTCTCAGCGGAGCCACTGAACTCTCCCGGCAAGGGGTGGGGATGGCTCGGCCGCAGTTGCACTATGTGGGTGCCTGGCGCAGGAGAGAGGGAGCCCCGACCCGGGGAGCCAGAGGCCCTGCAGGGGAGTCCCTTAAGCTCCAGCTAGCCTCAGACGGACGCTGTGAGAGCCTCACGGACTGTTAGACACCAAGTGAGGGCCCCGGGGCGTCTCCCAGACGAGAGCCCCCACTTCGGAGAGCGTTTTCTCGTGCCTGTAATTATGCTGCTTTTTCTCTTGTTTTCCTGCCTCCTTTACCGAGGACTGCAGAGCAAGCAGACTGACGTACACGTTCCTCATTTTGTGATCATATATATAAAGTACAAATATAAAGCTTATTTTGCTTCATATTTTTATCCCTCTTATCACAGAACAGAGGAATCCGAACAAACGGTCAGGCAGATTATAAAGACTTAGTGACTGAGCTTTTTTGTTCTGCAACTTCCCCATGTGGGAGACTGTTTTTTAGCTGTTCTGGGATTTGAGTGGACTGACTTAGGTTAGTATATGAATTTTGTCACCGTAAAGATATATAAGACAAGAAGAATTAGCTTTTGAAAGACATAGTCTAACGGATCACATGCGTGTTCTAAGCTAGTCAGTGTGTTCATACACAAAGAGAAACTCTCAAGGCCATTTTCCCGAGTTCTTAGTGTGGGAGGCATCCTGCTTTTCAGAAGCCAAGGAGCCATTGAGAATCTGGAAAAATGAGCAACCCCTCCTTAGACAATGCACATACACATACATTTTTGTACAAAATTGTATGGGGTCAGTCTTTTCCTTCTATTTTGAAGTTCTAACTAGAAACTCACGTCTGAAATGATCATGCCATCTAAATTCGACATACGATAGTTACGCCATAGCAATCATCGCGTGTGAATGGTATGTGGTTTTTCTTCCAAGTAATTGGACATGCTAGAAATCAGAAGTTAAATTTGTAAAAGAAAAAAAAATGTGCAGTGTACCTTGTGTGGCTTAGAAAGCACGTCGAGTAATTTGATTTTTCTGGCCCCCGAGGTCAGGTTGACCGAAGGCCTCTTTGATTCCACCTGATTGCAGAAGATTAAATCTAAGGTTGAGTTCCACTTGGTTTGCGTAGTTTGAGAAAAGCAAGTTAATGCAGACTTAAATTTTTTTTTTTCCTTTGAAGCTTCTTTGTGTCTTGTAAAATGTGAGTTTGCCCAATTCTCTTCGTCTGCCACAGATTAGGTATGCCATTGTAGCCGCCCGGGCGGCTCACCGTGCTTCTTAAACGCCCTGGCGGGAGCTTTCTCCACCACTTGTTCACTTGCACGGAGCCTGGTAACAGCCTCATCTGTATCTTGTTAGCTTCATTTCCTTATTCTTAAATTGCATTATTTGTAAGCAACCTAGCATTTAAAGATAAAGCCTAGCTGTAATGAATTAATGCTACTACAGAAAAGTCGTTGCTAAAGTTTCCGTACTGAAACCGATTATAACTTTCGTTAGAATGATTTATGCTTTGTTTAAATCATATTTACTGTGCAAGCAGGCATCTTTCTCCTGCCATGTTAACTGTATTTGCCAAATTCTAAAGATAATTTCGAAAATTGAAAATGGAAACTTTTTTCCCCCTTTTTTTAATGTGCCAAAAAGTTAAGCTTCGGGACTGGGCTGTGTATTTTTATTGGCATGTAACAGTCATGAGCTCTACAAGGATTTGTGTTTAAAGCGCTATAGCAGTCAACAGCTACAGTTTAAAAAGTAGTACCCGACAGGGCTTTGGCTGGCTCAGCTGCACAACTTCTCAGTGAACGTTGGGGCCTGGTTTCTCGCAGGCGGCACGACTGCCGGCCACTGTGTTCCGTCTCTCCCCTCTCCGCAGTATGTTCAGAGACTCTTCATCTTCTTCAACTCTCGTTTTTTTTTTCTCTCCTGAAAGTAATACCTATAGAATTTTAAAAGGTAGCAACATAAGAGGAAAAGGTCACTTGTCTATCACCTGTTTGTAATGAAATCACTTGGGTGAAGCATTTTGTTTAGATTTTATTTTCATCTCCCCCCCCCCCCCCCGCTCCGGTGCACTGTGTCCCCCCCACCCCCCCTCCCCATCCCCCAAAGGCCACTTAATTCTGATCACTGCCTTTGTTATAGAGCATATATATACGAATATATAATTCCTCTGTTTGTTAAACAGTTTTTGAAAAAAAATTTTTTTTTTTAATGACTGCAAATTGATCATTCTAGTTGGTCTTTGTGCTTTCTTTTCCAAGGAAAATAGGAACACATTTTGGATGTCTGATTTCCCGTTCCGTTTAATGGTGATTTGGCTAACGCAGATTTTGTTTCCCTGTTCTGCATTTTAGTAAAGTCATTTGGCAATCTTGATAGATTTTCTATGGATAGGTTTTGTGACTTCAAGGATATAATATTATGGCTTCATTGCAGTCAGCATTTTTTTTTAAAAAAACCTTTTATTTTGTCAATATGCATATATTGATAACTGGGTTTTGGTCCTTTCTCATTTTATTCTAGACTTATATATTGAATGCAATTGCTTTTTTTTTTTCTTTTGCTTGTATGTAAAACGTGCATGCCACGAGCTTTTTTTCTCCCCCCTTTTTGGTGTGAGTTTGAATATGGTCAACTACATCACCAAATTAAACATACTAATATCTATCGAGACATCAAAACTCCAAAGTTCTGTGATTTGGGAAATGCCAGTGGGAGTGGACCAGGTCTCTGTTTCATGTCAGTTTGTTTATGAGACAGTGGGGTCAGTCCCATGCTGTGAATTTGCTCAGCAGAAGCCCAGGGAAGTTCCTTTCCAGCCCTCGGTCCATGTGTCCGTTGAAACTCCCTGCCCCTGTAAGTCTTTCGATCACAGTCTGTTATTGCCGGTGTAGACAGTGACCCACTTTCATAGAGATACATCATTTTTTAACACCTGTCTGTCTGTCTCTGTCTCTGTCTCTGTCAACGTTGTCTGTTTTCTCTCTTTTGAAACATAAGGCCCTGTATTTTTGGTAAGCCAAATTCTCTTTACTAATGGTTTTCAACTTTTAAATACTAGGAACTGACACCAGTTCGCAGACTGGTAGTTGAAAACTGCTCCTCTAATATTCAGTACCCAGAAAGACAGGTTCCTGAGCAGAAGTGTGTCTTTTGGACAGAAAATCTTTGGAGAATCATAATAAAATATGCATATATATTTGACATTAACTTAATACAGGAATCTCTAGCTGATAGAAACAAATTTCAAATTGAAAAATGCTTAAAGCATCCATACTTTTGTTCTCTTTTGCTTGTTGTTCTTTTTAAAACAACATTGATCTAATGCTGCTCAAGTATGGTATTGGAAAATTCAGTGATGCAACCTTCTTGGGATATACGCAAGTTTGGTTGGCGACTAACCTCCTGAGTTAGGGAGATAGACTCTTCAACTAGTATTAAAGTACTCATTCAGCATTCATACTTGATTTCCATGTGTACAATAGCTTGTCAGATTACTGTTGTAGTATTACAGATTAATTTTTGGTTAAAGTTGCTTAGATTACTAACAATTTCCAAAGACGATTTTCCTTTCTAATTAGATTTGAATTTTTAAGTAACTGATGCCCCCATGTGGTGAAAGATATATTTTGCTTTCTTTCTGACTGTTCATTTGCCTTCTCTTACCGATAGTGGACATAAGTGTTCACCAAATAGCTGTTGACCTTGTAATTTGAATTTTGTAAAGCTCATTGCCATAAAATTCACAGCCTTACCCTGTATTGTCTCAGAAGTGCATGTAACCAAGCACGTACAGTGAGACAAAATATTGGAAGCTCTTTAATTACAAATAGCATAGGGATTTTCTGATCTTATGTATGATTTCTTATGTATTGGTTTTGTGTCTCACACAGGTGATGTACAGTTTATTGATTATGAGTATTCTGGATACAACTACCTGGCATATGATATTGGAAATCATTTCAATGAATTTGCAGGTAAAAGTACAGTTAACTAATTGAGTAGCATATAGAACTTTGAGATTCTAGTAAAAATTTTTAAAAAATCTTCCTTTCCAGATTTTATGGGAGCAAGGATAATATTTCTGTGGTTTTGATATTTTTTAATCATTGGACATGATCTTCCTTTCCAATAAGAACTTTGGTTTTTAGGACCTGATAGAGTACAAGCTACTTCATCAGTGTGTTTCGGCCTGCAGCCGTCATCACCCACTTTCCAGAGGGAGAAGGGAGCGCCCCAGGGTCGTAGTAAAATTCAGAACTAAGATTTGAAGCTGACTTGAGGGCTCGGTGGTAGGATTTGAAAGCTGGCTTTGCAAACAAAACTGTATTTTAAAAAATCATAAAAGTCTTTACTTATTTCCATGCTACATTTTGCTTCTGGATTAATGTTGGGTTTAACTTGAGAATCTCCTTCCTCCCTGACTCATGAGTAAGTGAAAAGGTGGCCCGCTCTACTCCTGAACATGAGTCTTGTTTTGTTTTACTTGTCAGGTATAAAGGTTTGCATGGTTTTTGGTTTTGATTTTTGGTCACGCCGTGCGATGCTCGAGGCGGTTTCTGGCTCTGTGCTCAGGAGTGAGCCCTGGTTGAGCTCAGGGACCACATGCAGTGCCAGGATGGATCCGACCTTGCTGCATGCAAGGCAAGCGCCTGTACTTTCTTTTTTATTTATTTATTCATTTATTTTTTTAATGTAAGAATTAAAATGCTTTTATGACTGTTTAGCAACATGAAATGCCTTAAAATAGAAGGTTAGGAAATTCCTTGGATAGTTTATAATACCAGGTTGAAATTTTATATTGAATTTGTATGCATTCTTACATTCATGCGGTTTAATATACTTTAATTGGGTTAGGGGAATGACAGTTTCAAGGCAGATATTCCTCGTTTGCAGGATACAACGTTCATGCCTGAGACTAGAGGGTTGCCAGACCAGTATAGTGGGTATGGGCAACTTAGGAAGAACCTTGAGTACTAGGCAAAGTGACATGAACTTTGTCTTCTTTGGTATTGTTCAAACAGCATCACTAAATCAAATTCATAGGGTGATTATTTTAAAGCGGTGAATGGAAAAGAAAGAAAATAGCAGTGTTGGAAGGTGTAGCTGGGGTTAACATGATGAAACGATGTCAGGTGGGATATGTGAAGTTTCAGGTTGGAATATACTTTCATTAGTAGTTAGCCGAGTCATAAGAAGTGTCCTGAGGGCTGGAGCACTAGTACGGTGGACAGATCGTTTTGCTTTGCATGCCGCAGACCCAGGTTCAGTCTCCGGCATCCAAGATGGCCCCCTGAGCACTGTCAGCGGTAACCCCTGAGCATTGCTGGGTGTGACCCAAAAAACCCCCAAAATTTTTTTTTTCTTTTTTATAATGTTAATCTGTGTAAGAACGTCTGAGGATTTGGGACTTTTGATGCAGACAGTTCAGACTCGACTTTGAGGAAAAATTTGAGGCCAAGAGAAGAGAATTGATTGATCGGGGTTATCACAGTGCTTTGAATTGCAGTCTAGGCAGAGGTGGAAACCCTCTTTGCATGAAATTAATTTGAGGCTCATTGGAGCATTCAGAGGAAACGTGTTTCTCATCTTCGTCGTCCCTTTCCCTCCGCAGGTGTCAGTGAGGTGGACTACGGCCTCTACCCGGGCCGGGAGCTGCAGCTGCAGTGGCTGCGCGCCTACCTCGAGGCCTACAACGGGTACAAGGGCTTCGGGTCGGAGGTCAGCGACAGGGAGGTGGAGGTGCTCTTCATCCACGTCAACCGGTTCGCGTTGGTAAGCTGGGCGTCAACTGTGTCAAGACTTTAAAAAAAAATTTTTTTTTTTTTTTTTTTTTTTTTTTTTTTTTTTTTTTTGCTTTTTGGGTCACACCCGGCAATGCACAGAGGTCACTTCTGGCTCTGCACCCAGGAATTACTCCTGGCGGTGCTCATGTGGGATGCTGGGAATCGAACCCGGGTTCGCCACATGCAAGGCAAATGCCCTCCCCACTGTGCTGTTGCTCCTGTCCTGACTTTGAAAATTTTTATTGCTCTATAAAGTAGTCTCTTATTTTGAGTGCCGTGAAATTTAGTTCAAAACAATGAAGAGTGTCATTTTATGCAATTTCCTCAACTGAATGCCGAGGTAGGCAAAGCTTTTCTTTCATTTGCTGCCGTATCCCCTGACCCAAAGAACAACCAGGGCCCTGGCCACCGCCTGGGAGGCATTGAGGGATTCCTGGGCTAACGAAGGGTTTCTACTTGGAGTCAAGGTGTGAAGCTGATTTCTTTTTCTTTTTCTTCCTTTCCTTTTTTTTTTAATTTTATTATTGCCTCTCACTTTATATTATGAAAAATCACTGACAAGGACAGATTTATGGGAAATGAAGATTTCCACAGTATTTAATTTACGTCTCTTAATGTTAACATGATTGCAGTAGTTCGTAAGAACGGTAATCATACCAAGTAGAATTGTTTCCATGATTTGACCGACAGTCTCGTCTTGTTGCCCTTCTTCGGGTAGTTCTTTTCAGAGTTGGTATTTCGGTCCTTTCAAATGAGTTTTCAGGTTATCTTTATCCTAAAGCCATTTTAAAAATGTGTCTCCCCCCACCTCTCTTTGTTGCTCCTTCATTTGAGCTGCTGTTGTGATGATGTGATGTGAGGGTGGGAAGGAGGCTCCTGGCTCGGGGCTTGCTGGGGTCCCCCGTCAGTTCCTGGCCAGGGTGCTCAGGAGGCTGCAGTTGTTGTCACGCTTGGGTCACACTTCCTGGCCTGGATCCTCCCTTGGTGCTGGCCTGGGGTCACTGGTGTCCTGGCTGTGGTGCCCCTGGAGTCGCTTGGTGCCAGGGGTCACAGACGTGAGTCCTGGCGATGACAGGCGGTGCTCTGGGGACCACGTTCGACGTACGTGGGAGCTCTTGGCCTCGTCCTTGTGGCCTCACCCTTGGAGGCGGGTGTCTGCTCCGCTCCCGAGAGGCCTCTCGGGGAGAAGGACATCTGTGCTGCGAAAGGAGTTTTCTTCCTGCAAAGGCGTTAGACGGCGGCGTTGGATGCTAGGTCAGAGTCATTCCAGCTGCATTTTTCGTGCAGTTGTCATTCTGTAAGGCCGTCATGGGAGATATTTGTAACGTGATCATTACAGATGGACCTTATTATTACAGATGGACTGTTGTCACAGCTCTCAGAGGAGGCTTGCGCTGGGGCCCTTCAGAACGTCCCTCTCGAGGGTGTGCTGAAGTGCAACTTGCCCTGCTGTTCTGACCTCTCTTTCGAGTGGAACTGTTGTGGAATCCGTGGCCTGCTCTCCGCTGTGTCCTGTTACTGCAGTGTGGTCTGTCAGTCGGGGACCGGGTTTCTTTCCCCACAGGTCGATTCATTATAGAGCTTCAGAATCAACTGAAAACGTAGGATTTAGCCATTTTCTGTAGTAACACGAGGAATACACTGAGACCCTGTGTATTTTTCCATGTGCCCATTTAAAGAAATCAGATGGTTGCCAATTGGGTAAGTTTCGATGTAATGTTGGCATAGGTTTTAAAAGCGCAGACAACACTCCCAGTAGCTACTTCAGAGAGGTGACTTGGAGTTCCCTTGGAAACCTCTGGATGGGTATAAGGTGGCTGTATCCACCCGAGTCTGGGCTTTTGTTTTGGGGAGACGCTTGGTTACCGTTTCAATTTCCGCTGTAGTGATTATTTGTGCAGGTATTCTGAGTTACCTTGTTCAGCCCTGGGAGGTTACAGGATTCTAGAAATTTATCCATTCCTTCTAGATTCTCTTGTTTCATGGCATAAAGATTCTTCATCTCTGATAATCCTTTGAATTCCTGGGGTGTCTGCTGTGATGTCCCCGCTTTCATTTCTGATCCAGTTTATTAGGGTTCTCTCTCAGTTTCTTTGTGAGTCTTGCTAGTGGTTTATTGACCTTGTTTATGTTTTCCAGAGGACCAGCTCTTGGTTTTAGTGATATTTTTTATTTTCAAAACCAATTCCAGTTCATCAGTTTCTGCTCTATTATTTTCTTCTCCTGCCTTCGCTGGGCTCCTTTCGTGGATCACTTTTCAGTTTCTTAAGTTGCACACATGTGCAGTCAAGTTACTTCTGTGGCCCCTTTCTTCCTGTCGAACGCTTCCGTAGCTATGAACTTTCCACTTCATCCCACCTTTGCTGTTTCGCACGAGTTCTGGTAGGGAGCGTCCTAATTCTCACTTGTTACCGTATCCTCTTCGATTTCCTCTCTGACCTACTGATTATTCAGTAATGAATCACTTAATTTCCAGGTGTTTGAGTTGTTTCTGTACTTCTGTTTGTGATTAGCCTCTAGTTTGACTGCATCATGGTCTGAGAGGGGAGTTGATGGGATTTCTGTGTGTTTGACTTTGTGGAGGTGTGTTTGGCATCCCAGCATGTTGACTCTTGGAGAATGGCCCGTGTACATTCTGATTGGAGAAGAACGTGTATTCAGCTTTTGGGGGATGAAAAGCCTCGCTTTGTATATCTGCTAAGCCCCTGTCTTCCATTTCTTCCTTTAAAAGCAAGTATTTCCTTCCTGAACTTTCGTCTCGTGGATCTGTCGAGAGGTGAGAGGGTGGTGTTGGAATCTCCAGCTACTGTTGTGTTGCTCTCCAAGGCTTCTTCCAGGTCTGTTAGTTGTTTTAAGTAATTTGCTGATCTCTCTTCAGGTGCCTATACATTTATGGCTGTGAGTTCTTCCTGATGTGCATGCCCCTCGGTCATTCAGAAATAACTTCCGCTGTCTCATAACCTTTTCAGCTGAAATCTGTGTTGTCAGAAACTAGTATGGCCACCACTGCCTTTTTTTAAGGCGGTTGTTTGCTTGAAGTATTGTTTTCCAGCCTTATTTTTAAAACCAATTCCATGGCCAGGGATGCTCCATGCTCATGTTTGGGTCCATGTTTGCACTGACTGCTCAGATGTGTTTGTTGCAGGCAGCACAAGTTGAGTTCAGTTTTCTAATCCACCCTGCTGCTCTGTGTCTTAATTGGTGCATTTAGCCTGGTGACATCGACGAGATTATTGTCATGGAGTTTTGTGCCAACTTTCTGCAGGAATTTGGCGTGTTTGTGGGACATAGCTTGTCTTAAAGAATCCCCTTTAATCTTGTAAAGATAGTTTTTTTTTCTTTTTTGCTTTTTTGGGTCACACCCGGTGATACACAGGGGTTACTCTTGGCTCTGCACTCAGGAGTTACTCCTGGCAGTGCTCAGGGGACCCTATGGGATGCTGGGAATCGAACCCGGGTTGGCCACGTGCAAGGCAAACGCCCTACCCCCTGTACTATTGCTTCAGCTCTTGTAAAGATAGTTTTGAGCCTGAAGTTTCTGAGGTTTTTTCTCTGTGAAGCTGCATATTGTTCCTTTAAGTCTGAATGAGAGTCTGACTGGGTAAAGTATTCTTGGTGAGATATTCATTTCCTTCGGTGTTTTCATTATATCCCACCGCTGTCTTTGGGCCCAGGGGATTTTGTCTGAGAAGTCTGTGGCAAATCTTCAGGACGCTCCTTTGCCTGTAATTTCCTTCTTTGATCTGCCTGCCCGCAGTGTCTCCTCTCTCTCTGGTTTTCGTCATTCCGATTAGGATGCGTCTTGGAGTATCATTATTTGGGTCTCTTTTGGCTGGTTCCCTTTGAGCCTCCTGGATCTGGGTGCATGCTTTCTCCAGCTGTGGGCTCCTCTCAGAAATGATGCCTTTGACTGTTACCTCTTTGTCAGAGTTGCCTTCCCGCACCTCTGGGACCCGAGTCCCAGGGTTCTTAGGTTGTTCCTTTGGATTCTCTTAAAGCGAAGTACTCTAATTTCATGGGGAATTTCCAGACAACAGTTTGAGGATTTATTTTAGTTATTTATTCATCAATAAAGCTTTGAGTTTTTCTTTGCAGCTGGGTTGGTTAGCCTGGAAATGAAAAATGCCCTTTGAATGGTCTTATCCAAATCAGAGCAGTATCATATAGGCGAGCCATAGGAGAATCACGGAATGCTATTTTATTTATACTTACATACACGGCAGAGCCTGGCAAGCTCCCCGTGACGTATTCGATGTGCCAAACACAGTAACAACAAAGTCTCCAATGGAGACGTTACTGGGCCCGCTCGAGCAAATCGACGAACAACGGGAGGGCCTTTACTTTACTTTACCCTCTTTGCAGTAATGTCAGAAGACAAATGGGCTATTTGCTACATTTCCATTTGATCCTCTTAAGAGTCTAGCGTTATGTACGGTTTTTTCATTTTCACCTTACAAAGGTGTTGCCCACCAAAACGAAATTTCTGCAAAATTTTTATGAGTACACCTACGGTAGAGTCATTTAGTTAGTAACCTGAGAAATAGAGTTGCCAACACTGCGGGAAAGAGTGGGAAGGACTGCTTTGCATAGCTTCTGATGTCTCTGTGCCCAGACAGAACCAGCTTAATGGGGTTGTGATAGTGTCACAGTGAATGTGCTGCTTGCTGGGCAGGGGTGCTCAGCTCTCAGGCGGGCCCTGGGCCACTCCCAGGCTGTCTCTGCCCGGAAGGGTTGGTGCTGGGGCTCGGGGTGTGGAACCCCTCAGGCCCTGAGGCGCTGGGGGTCACCAGTGCCTCCCTGTGCTGCCTGGGCTCAGCCGGCGGCGGCGACACGGTGGTACTGGGCGCTAGCCGGCTCCCGCAGCCTCGAGCTCTGCCCTGGCCTCTTCACGGGGAATTAAAAAATTTTTTTTTTCCATTTATTTTTACAAAACTGTTTGTGATTGGATTCAGTCATCCAGTATTCCAACCCCCATCCCTCCACCAGTGTACGTTTGCCAGCACCAGGGGCCCCAGGTTCCCTCTCATCACCCCCCAGCCCCTGCCTCCCTCTGTGGCAGACACTTTTCTTCTCTCTCTCTCTCTCTCTCTCTCTCTCTCCCCCCCCCCCTCCCTCTCTCTCCTCCTCTCTTTCTCCTCTTTCTCCTCTCTCTCTCTGCCTGCCTCCCTCCCTCCCTCTCCCCTCCCTCTCTGCTTTTGGGCATTGTGGTTTGCAATATTGATACGAAAAGGTTATCCAGAATATTCCTCTACCTACTTTCAACCCTCAGATCTTGTCCAGAGTGATCATCCCCAGCTGTTATTGTCACAGCAGTCTCTTGTCTATCTTATCCTCAGCCCCCCACTCAGTTGTGGTTAATTCCAACCATTGACCAGTTCTCCTAACCCCTGCTCTCCCTGGCCATGGATATTCTCCCCCATATATGTATGTGTGTATATATATATATGTATATGTATATGTATATGTATATGTATATGTATATATATACACACACACACACATTTTTTTTAAAATGCCACAAGTAGCTACTGAGAGTATCTTGCCCACACGGCAAAGCCTGGCAAACTCCCCGTGACGTCTTCGATGTGCCAAACACAGTAACAACAAAGTCTCACAGTGGAGACGTTACTGGGCCCGCTGGAGCACACCGATGAACATCGGGAGGACAGTGCTGCCACAAGCGAATGTAGTCATTCTCTCTCCCTTTCCCTCATCACGGTGTTTTTGTAGTGCTCAAATTATGTCAGGGATCCTTCAGCAGTTAGTTTCTATGGCTCTTCTCCCCACCCCCAGCTTAAAACATATTTGTGTGTGTGTGTGGGGGGAGTCGGTTCGAGTTCTGAGGCTCGACCCAGAGCTCAGATAAGCCAGGCCTGCGTTCTGCCCCTGAACTGGCGACGTCCCTGGCTCCTGAAAAAAGGGGTTTTGGGAAAACCCCCACTAGTTTCTGTTCACATAGGTTAACTATACATATTTGCCACACTAGGAATTAAGATAGATTCAAAGTAATTTACAGTTTAAATAGCTTAATATTTAAAATAACAAGCATGTCACAAATGCCATTAAAACATTCATATAAAACACGAGTGTAAAGAAAGGTATTGTTTTAGCCTTTTGCAAATCATTGAAGTCTGGTTTACAGGAGGTTGTTTTTTTTTCCTTTTTTTTTCTTTTTGCTTTTTTGAACCACACCCAGCGATGCTCAGGGTTGCTCCTGGCTCTGTGCTCAGGAATCCCTCCTGGCAGTGCTCGGGGACCACATGCGATGCCGGGGATTGAACCTGGGTCAGGCCTGTGCGAGGCCAGCGCCCTCCGCTCTGCTCTTGCTCCGGTCCCTGGGCTTCCTTTCTGCGTCTGCATTTCTTCCGTTGCTCTGAGGTGGCCCGGGCAGCCCCCCCTGGGTTCCGAGTTCAGACGGTAACAGCGCGTCGTGGGTTCTGAGACAGATGCCGAGCGCAGGTCCCGCTAGCTCTTCTCCACCCCCAATGTTGACCCTGCAGCAGTCGCCAGCTAACCCCGAGGCGCCCGGCCCTGCCTCCTCCGGCCTCACGACTCCCCAGTTTATTTTGGAGAACGGGGTCGGCGGCTCAGAAGCCGTACCAGGGCTGGGGCCTTGGGAGCAAGTGTCCCCAGCTCTTCCCGCCAGGGGAGGAGCCCCATCTCAGAAGCTGGTGAGTGGGGGCCTTTCCCACCGGCCTGGTCCTGGGTCATCGGGAGACACGCCTTTCCCTTGCTTGAGTCCCAGCCTGCTGTCGGACACGTCGCCGGCAGGCCAGACCCCGTGACAGAGCTTATTCCCTTTGCTCTGGTGCTGGCTGGATTCCAGGAGCCCGGGTGTAAGACCCAGGAACCGTTTCTTCCTGGAGATCATCACATCATTTGGGCAGTCTCCGGATGGTGAGGCGGTGGCCGGAGGGGACTCAGGGCCGCACTTGGGGTGTGCCTCTCGGGTTGGACCTTCGGGGCCCGCTCGTCTCTGGTTTGCTTCGCAGAAACCAGCCTGGGGCGTGTGACTGCTGTTGCGGCTTTGTCTTGTGCTGCCTGGTCTCTCCCGCCCTGTGTTCCGTGTGAGGTGTTACGGGGCACCAGCTTCCCCGGGGCTGGTCTCTCACTGGCACTGTCCGGAGCTTGGCGGGGTGGGGAGTCGTAGTAGCTCCTGAGCACCTTGCGCCCGCCCTGGCCCCCAGGCCAGTATGGAGCCCGAGACCCGGGCACGGGTGGAAGTGTGCCTCCACTCCCCCAGTGGCCCCGAGCCATCCACGGGGTCGCCTGAGCTGCCGGGCTCTGAGGCAAGGGAGGATTCGGCCTCGGGTGCTGTCTGCTTTAGCTGCTAGGTCAAGGGCTTGGGTTTCAGGGTCATAGCTGGCAGTGTCCTGGGCTCACTGGAAGCAGCACTGGTGCCTCAGAAGGGCGCCCGGCTCCCTCTGGCTCACCCAGTGTGGGGGAGGAGGGAAGGAGGGAGGAGGTGGGGGTGGCATGGTCCTTGGGCTCTCTCTGGGCTCTCGGGGCTGTGCTGGCCCTTTGGCCTCTACTTGGCTTGTAGGGTTGGTTACTTGGTTTATTTGTTTCGTTCTGTTTGTTTGTTTTCAAGTACGTGGAGCACCGCCGTGGAGTACGGTGGAGTACGTTTTCAACTTCTGGCAGTGCATGTTCCCCTGGGTACTACCAGGCTGATCCCTGAGCACTGCCACATCTGGCCCAAGGCACCCCCCCCCCCCCAACCCCTACCCCCAAAATAAAAGACACAGACACACACACACACACACACACACACACACACACACACATTTCTTTTAAAAGTCCAAGTCCACTTTTCACTGCAGCAGTCTCGGTTGTGCAGAGTAGGTCAGGAAAGATGGTTTGCAGATGTTTGTCACTCCTAGAACTGTGATCATGACTCTAATTAATGTGTTTGAGGTGGGATCTTCTTTCTTCTAATTTTGGACTGAAAAAGGTGAGAATGGCCCTGCTGGTCTCAGGGACTCGGAGCATTTCCCTGGGCCGAGGTTGCCTTGTTCATTTCTGTTTGCATTCATAACGAACTTTGGATTCCTTGCAGGGAAACCTGCATCAGTCCTGCCCAACTCTGCCCAGGTGGGGTCCGATCAGGCTTAGGGTGTTCAGGGCTTGCATTCAGGGATCACTCCTGGTGGTTCCGAGGGACCGTATGGGATGGTGGGGAGCAAATCCCCGGGCAGACATGCCCTACCTGTGGTGCTGGGTCTCAAGAATTGGAGTTTTTTTTTAAAAAAAATGTTATTTATTGGGCTGGAACGAAGGTACAGCAAAATAGCTGATTACTTGCATGCAACTTCAGTTTCATTTGCGTCTTAGGTATTTTATATAAAAAAGTGTCAAGAAACATTGTGGAATTGTTGTAAAAAGGAAAATTTAGCCGTTTGATAATTTGTTTTACAAAGAAATGCATTTTCATGCCTCTTGATTGGTTTTTTTTGTTTTTTCTTCTTTTTTAGGCTTCTCATTTCTTTTGGGGATTGTGGGCTTTGATTCAAGCCAAATACTCCACTATTGACTTTGATTTCCTTGGGTAAGGTGAATTTTACTACACACTGCGTTACTTTGTCTCTTCTTTAACAAAAATTAACATTTGGAACCCGATAGGGGATGTTAATAGCTATTATTTTCAGCCAAATATTAGAAAGGTTGCATACATTTGCTAATTGATCTGCGAGGAATTCTAAGTGTTAAATGCTCTCAGAATTAGAAAAGCGTCCAGTAGGTGGTGCAATAAACTAAAAATACATCCCTTGGAAATCTTTTAAAAACTCATTTAGAAGAGTGAGTGGAAATAAAGGGAGGATTAAGTTTTTCAGCTTCCACTAATTCTTTCATTATTCTCTTCTCTCACTAGGTATGCTATTGTTCGTTTTAACCAATACTTTAAAATGAAGCCTGAGGTTACTGCATTAAAAGTGCCTGAGTAAAGAAGAACTTTAATTATTCCCAAGTAGCAGAACAAGGCTTGTGAATTGTTTCTTAAGAAATCCAAAAAGCCAATATTTGTTAAAATTCTGTTATTTGATTTGGTTATCTTGCTTTAAGAATTATGCCTCTAAACAGCCAGTCTCTTTCAGACAGACTGAGTCATGTCAAGAAATAGACTTAACTGCTATCCATACGTGGTGGATTAGGAATTTGTTATATCTGCAGAAAGGTATAAAGATGTCAGTTGAGTCCTTTAATAATTTAATCTGTGTTATATGTGAATTATTTATTATAAATCTAACATGATTCTGTGCTGGCATCCATCTGTGTCATCTGTTGAGTATCAGCAGTGAGTGCGCCAGAGAGATTTTTTTTATTTTAATAAGATTAATTTTAGTAAATATTCTAGGCATTCAAGTGTAACCTTTATCTTGATGCATTGTAAGTGAATTATATACTCTTGAAATGCCAGGCACTGGTATAGATTACTTAGGATGTTTATAGAAAAAAATAACTGTTTAGGAGGGTGAAGTATCTTCACCGTTTTTACTAGTGCTACATCCTTTTGAATTGAATACTAGAAAGGGTTTTTTTTTTTTAGGGTTTGTACTTAGAATTAAATCTCCCTCTCTTTATCTAGTCTGGCAGAGAAATATTACTATTCACCATATAATCTTGGAATAGATAGGATTTCATGTTGCTGAAATCTGCATTGAATAATGTTTCATGTACTAAATATGGCCATTTAAGTTACTAGTTATAAAGGAAATTTACTATGTCAGATTATTCCTAATCAAAACTTGTGTTTCACTATTGAGATGTTCTTTGTTTTGCTACTAAATAGGATCGCTTGTAGGAAAACTGCTAATTATTGAGACTGTGTGTGTCATCCTGGGAACAAGAAAAAGTCATTTAGATTTTTTTTACCTCTCCAGTCATTCCTTTCACTTTAGTGTCATGTCCTTGTTTGGATCTGCCCTTGCCTTTCTAACGATGTCCAGTAGCTCATTGATGCAGGTAGATTCCGGGGAATGGAAGTAAGAGACATTTATGACATTGATTTGGTACACCCAAGACATGACGTGAATCAAGCAGAAATACTCACGGTAGGAGGGCTTCGGTTTTGGTTATTCTTACTCAGTACGTGTGATTTTGTGAGGTTTTGCGCGAGGGCGGCAGTTCCGTGGATCCTGGGAGTGGGTCAGCGGGCTTCAGGCGTGGAGCTGGCCGTCACAGTCGCTGCTAAGGAAATCCGACAGGCTCTGCACTTGGGGCACGCGGGGAAGCGCCCGTGTACGCGGCTGATGGATCTGCGTATTCAGAATGTGCACGTACACGTTTATCCTCTGAAATTTTCTGTGGGGTCCGATGTATTATTTCCTAATGACTTAAGTTCTCAGATCTGTGCTTTAAAAAACTTGGATTATCTCAAGATGTTTAAAGCAAATGAAGTAGAAACACGTAAAAGACCATTTTATATGGTACCTGCTAGTTATATAGATTCTTAAAATCTTTCTTGTCTCTATAACAGTGTTAGACCAAGATTTGTTTCCTACCTCCCCCATATGACGGAGACTCACTTCAGTTTTATAAACCATAGTACTGTTGATCAATAGAATTTTGCATTACTGACTAAGTGAATGGAACCAATTAAACTGTAGCTTTTTATATAATGTTAGCGTGAACTTGAAAAGTTGATTTTGGTGGAATTTTCATCTTTGATTGGGACATTTTCTTAAAATTTTGAGGAAAAAAAAGTGTTTTTTTTTTTTTAAACTGCTTTTTTGGTTTGCTGACTTCCAAAAGTGCAGTCGTGGATACTTATAAAAGTTGAGGTGCTGTCGGGGAGGGATCAGTCTCCTGCCTGGTCCCGTTCTTCACACTCTCGGTGTGTGAAGTCGGTGCGCATAGCTGGGCCCCAGGGTGCCTTCGGAGGGAGGTTGCGAAGGGGACAAGGCTTCCGCCCCTCCCTTGGGTCTGCAGTGGGCTTGGGGAGCAGATAGATATCAGAGATCTCGCCCCCATTGTTTGACTAGATTTTGGGTGTGATGCTCTGCTTCCCAGACGGCTTGGGGGAATCATTCTGCAGAATAATTATAGAGTTCAAAATTGTATTATCTGTGGGTTTTTATTTTATTTTTGGGTTTTAAACCATCTAAAGGATTCTTAAAAAAAAAAAAATCCCTCTAAAATCTGTCCTGTGGCTTGCTGAGATGTCTTTTGCCTTTTTACGTTAAGCTACGGAACTTGAATGCCTTATCTAATAACTGGTAGTAAGCTCATTTTGTAAATATGAAAATGGTTGTCAGAGAATTGGCATTCAGTGTACTCCTTGTTAGTCAATAGACAATAGACCATAGTGGCCTGAATGCTTTAATAAGCAGAATTCCACCCCCCCCCCCTTTTGTTCCTGACATACGTGTATGCTCTTCCCTGACCAGTGATCGTTGAATCCCCCTCCGCACCCCTGGCCCATGCTCTCTGATTTCTGGAAATCAAAGAGATGTGGTAGTGACATATTGTTCACATGATCATTTGAGATCAGTATGAGCACAAACTCATCACGTAGAGCTGCCCGGCCTGTATATAAGACCTGTAAATAAAGACTTGTAAATCAGTGTGGATTGTATCTTGCATATGAGATTGTGTATTGGTTTGCATTCTCTTGTCGATCTCGCTCTGTAAGAAATGGTCCAGCTCTTTGTTTCTGGACTGGAAACAGCCAACAGTTCTGGCCACACAGTGTGATAGCAAGAGGAACTGGAAATAGGGTCGCTTAGTTTCGTTAATGTCACTACTTCTTTACTTAGCCTCTCAGTGCCTAATATGACTTTTCTTCCTCCTTCACTTGGCCATTCGTTTTGTAAACTTCCTGCAAGCAGTAAATTAATGGTATGAGAACTCCAGTTTTCCGAGTCCTGATTCCCAAACTGAAAATACAAGTTTAATGATCAGTGTCTTTTCCTGTTTTCAGTCGACCTTTTTCTACCAAAAACAACTTTGAAATTTTATAGATCTCAGTGTGATTCTGAATAAGAGAGACAATAAATTATGCCTCTGTCTTCAACTTAAGTATTTCACAGTTTCTCCAAATGTATTGTTTTTCATTATGGGATTGTAACAAACAGAAACATAGAATCATCTTTTAATGACCACTCTTTCCATTTTTGCTGGATTAAATTACTTGACCTTCATAAAAACGCTACTAAAACTTTCAGATTTAAAGACAATGTTCTCCCACCATCACAAACCTCCACTTTGACAGTTATATAGATATTTCTTTTATAAATTATACAAAGCCTTCTGTAACATTTCTCAATTCCTTCATAATATAAATGAGAATACTGTTTGATTTTCTGCTTTTAATTGCTTCTAACAAGCATTTTATACTGCATTCCAAAGTAACAAATAGACCTTAGCTTTTAATAGGAATTGGTTGTTCGGTTAGACAAAGTAATGCTTTATGCTAGGAGAGTTTTGTTATTGGCGGGAACTTGCACTACTTTACACAAAAGGCAAAAAAAAAATGCCAGTAATTGTTATACATAGAGAAAAATAAATGATAAGAGTGTGGTAAAACAGCTTTACCTTTATTTCAAAATGATTTTTAAAATTTTTTCTTTGGTGCAGTAGAGTTTAGAATGTCCTCTGACTGGAAACTTAGTTATATATTAAGGCAACATTTCTCTTTTTTAATTTTAAGATGGCTGTATTGAATCACCTGTTTTTTTTTTTTCCCCATTACATGCCACATGTTTGATTACAGTGTTATGTCTTAGGTTGGATATTTCCAGACTGTAAAGTGTGTCAGTTATTTAAAGTGAATTTCCCCCATCTTTGAAGCTTAGTCGGCAAATGTCTTGCTGTGAAAGAAAAAGTGCTTGGGCTTGCAGTGCCGAATACTTGAAAACTGAAATTGCATAATCAATGCGATTTTCCAGAAGTTTTTACTTCAAGTTTTTTCATTTCTGGAAATTTCACTTCATAATTTGGAATGGACAGAGATTTCAGTTCTTTGAATGGAAACAATAATGATACTGCTTCAAGAAGATGATCCTTTTGTATATAAGGCGTCCTAAATTCAAGTTTTTAAATCAGTTTTTTTCCCCTGAAATCTTTCTCTTACCTATACTTAAAGCACTTTGCTACTGCTGTTATTAAATAGGTTAAAATAAAGTCTGTGATCATTATGAATCTTACAGCATTTGTAGTAATGGGAAAAAAAATTCTCTGTTAAATACTTTTACTCTGCAATTGTAGTCATTTATTTGTATACTTCTTATCCACTCATAGTATGAATGACCACTTCGAAATGATCGGTTAAGTCATTTGAGGAAAACGTTACACAATATTTATAAAAATTAAAAAAAAACACATACTGTATTTGAATTAGTGAAGAATAAGAGGAAACTAGTGAAATGAATTGTTCCCTAGTTAAATCCATGAATCCTCCTGCGACCTGATCTGGAAAAGAGCCCCTCCTCTCCGCCCCCCATAGCGGAGCAGATGAGAGAGTATTCCCTTGTGATGGTGTGCGGTAGTGACACACTGAAATCAGTTTGATGCCCTGTTGCCTATCTGTCCTACAGCAATTTCAAATTGGTAGAAATCTGCAGAGGAAACTTTTTTCAGCTTTATTTCGGAACCTTTGTACATCTGGGCAAAGTTCCACGGTATGAAGTATTTGAATTTTAAAACGTGCTATTACTAAAAGGAAAAGGACGTGGCATTATTCCATGTTCTTAAGTGCAAACTTCCTCACTCAGTGTCAGAAGGAAAAGAATAACTGTCATTAAGTCAGCTCTGTGTTGAATTGGGAAATTGTGGCAACCAACTTAAATTTGTGTTTATCAAATGTGAAACGTTGTAGTATAATGCTGCTTTGTATATACTGTAAGTGCTACAAATAGTCGCAGCACTGAAAATGTATTGATACCTCTCAAATGAATGCAACTTCCGACGTAGGTGTTTGGATATGCCTCAGAAAGTACCTGGGTGTCTGAGGAACTCCTTAATCTGTTTGGTAATGAAGATACTTCCTGGTTTGTTTTTTTTTTATTTCGTTGTGTTATTTTCATGTTTTAGTTTTTACATTCTTACTACTGTTAATTTATGTAAAAATTGTTCTGTGGATACACAATGGGGTTGTCGGTGAACAGAATTAAAACAGCCTCATTTATGTAACTGCTTAAGTAAAAATAAATTTTTGCTCTATGTTCACAAACTTTTAATTAAGCTGTTTGTATTTCTGTTTAAAAAAGTGATACTTAGGCTTTATTTCTGTCTGATGAAGCCTATTACCATTGATTAA